CATTCTTTGAGTTTGACATGCCGCCCTCCCCTAGCCCCCTCTCCCGCTCTCAATTGCCCATCAACTATAATAAGACCTGGAATGACTGGCAGCTGAAGCTTGCAAAGGGAAGTCGAAATAAAAATCACAAAGATTGGATGTTAAGTAGTTTGTAATATGTGTGATGAAATTGTGGCTTGACCTGCAGCTATTTTATCTCGGAGTACTAAATCCTACTTTGTTTACTTTTAAATTTTCCTTTAATTATGTCTTTCAGGATCAGTTTATTACAGATTATTATACTGTAATGTGTAGCCTTCGAGGTAGATCCTGTTTTTAGGAATCTCATTGTTCTGTAATGTCAGGATTTCTCATCCAGTTGGATTTTCGGGCTCTTATCAAGGACAAAGTTTCGCCAAAGCGTAGCGTGTGGAAGCTTTTTACGAGAAACGTCGGTAAACACGAGCAGCGCGTTCTCATTATCAAGGCGCATCTTCCCAATTGATCGCCAAACACTGCAGGCAACAACAAGTCCCGTCTCTTTACATAACCCTTCCACGAGCACGGAGGAATGTAAACTGGAAAGGGCAGATCCACCGCTCACACCCCTCCCATCCCACACACACACAATCACACACGGTCAAAGTGAGTTCCACACACATGCACCCAGTCACTCCTTATCTCCACCAACAGCTTTGAAGCAAGAGCTCCCTGACCCGTCCACATGTGTGTACGTGCACGTTAGGTAGAGTCAGGGACAGCAGGCAAGAGCCGAGGGTTTTGCGACCAGATCTGGAATGGGAGGGAATGTCACAGTTGCAGCTGCTCTCTTGCATTAAGAGGCTCTGAGGCTGACAGAGGACAATCACAGGGACATACCCCCCAAAGGAGGACCCTCCGCTGTGGTGAAGTCGCAGTGCAGATCGCCTGTGGTTTGCGCGGCCGAGAGAGGGGAACGCTGGATTGAGGCGTTGTGTTTGCGCGCGCGCAACTGCCCCATCCTGTCTGGAGCAAAGATGAGGATGAGGGAGCTTACTTTACGTCAGGATCCCGACCTCAGGAAGGAGCTGGCTCTCCTGGCGCGGGGATGCGACTTTGTTCTGCCTTCTCGGTTCAAGAAGAGGCTCAGAGCCTTCCAGCAAGGACAGGCAGGTGTTTTTATTGAGTGTGCTGAACTTTTGTGTCATAAACGTCATCGTCGTTTCTCGTTCTTAGAGCGGAAACGAAACGGTTGTTGAACTTTCTGAAGGAAAGGTAACAAGAAGTTTTTTTTTGTGGGGGGGGCTCTCTCTCTCTCTCTCTCTCCAAAGATGATTGGGGGGACTTTCTTCAATCTGATTATATTTCTGTTTTGGTACATTGTGTCCAGTTGCTTCCCTGTCTTCTTTCAGACCACATCATTTGCAATGTGCAAAATGTCATGTGGCTTAACAGTTGTGCTCAAGAGCTCTGCAAGCATGAAGCGAGAGAGGGAACAGCGCGGGGCAACAGGAGATGTTTATGTCCTTTTATAGCCATGGCTGATACCAACACACAGCACTGACAAGCAGAGGATCAGCAGCATTTGTCATTTGTCATGATAAAATAAGCAGATTATCACTTGCGGTTTACAAGCATCTTTTGCGCCAGGTCCAGAATTTAAAGGCCTTAATAAGCTGTTGTTGAAATCTTTATTGATATTGAATCAATACAAACCCCAGAGGCATTATTTAATATTTTTAACAAGATGCAGTGCGGGTGTGTTTTTCATTATTAGTCACAAATCGATTCATTTGTAAATCTATTAGGGCGAACAAATGGACCTTTGTGTAGGACCTGATGGTAGCATCATGTTTTCAAGTTGCCTTATTAACAGCGTAACATAACAATACTGACTGCAACTGGTTTCACCTGTCATTATGTTGTTAAAATGCTACACTCTTATTACTTGGTTGAACTAAATGTCACTTTGTGATACACAAAACAGGGATCTTAACAGTGTCGTCTCATAACTCCAAAGTCTTCACAGTTGGAGACTTAAATGGTTTTCCAGTCGAGTTTGTGGTGATGGTGAGACTTCGACAAGCCTAAAGTTCTGCTGTTTGTATTGCCACTAAAAAGGAGGGCAATTACAGAAAACGACAAACATCCCACTTCAACAAAAGCATCACAATTACAGAAGACTTTCATTGTGCATTTGATCTAAAATGATGCTTCTTATTTGGTATTATTTGCTGATGAATGAAAATTGACTAACAGTTAGTGTTTGTCATTCTGTGATTTCAGTCTTTAGCAATGGTTGTTTTCTTGGTTTGATTTGAAGGTTTTCGTTCTTTAATAGAGGAAGAAGGTTTGAGTCCAATAGAAGATTATTCTGACTTCTGCATCAATTCATCTGAAGTGGCAATACTCTAAAACTTTTTTTTAAATCAGTGAACCCAATTAAAAAATGAGTCTATTTACTTGTTCTGAAAGATCTAAGCAGATGAAGAAACGCATATTTGCTGTCTTCTTTTAGTATAACCTTATTGGGATTCCTTACACTTGAGTATATGTATTAGAAGACTGTTGCTGTTTAAAGAAATAATAGCAAGAACTTGATAAGAACCCAGCAGTGCACCAGTTTTCTTTTTCTTTCAAAGATTATGCAGCTGCTTTATTCAATATTGTTTAACAGTGATATCATGTTTGTGTTATCGGGAAGTTTAACAGAGTTTATCAGTACAGCAGATATCAATGTGAAGCGTAAAAGCATGATTCAACTCCCACAGCCCTGGGGCTGAGTTGGGTTCAGTCAAGTTCACCTTTTATCAATTAGACTCTGTTGGTGTGAAAACAAGCAAACTAGAGAATCCACCAAGAATATGATTCCTACTGAATAAGTTTTACCGCAACAGTTGTGTCTTCACACCTGTGGGAAAAGTTATAAAAATCAGTTTGCTGCCTCCTATTTTACTAATGAGAAGTTTAAAGATCTGTCTTTAGATTATGTAATATCCAAAGTAAATTGGTCTAAAATGTAGGGGTGCACCAATCAGTTTGTCTTTAATTTTTGTGATGATTACATATGAAACCCACCTTATCTTGTCACCCTTTAGCTGAGCACCGAGTTAGCTCACTGCTATAACAATAGTCAATGAAATTTACCACGATGAAAAACTCTAAGTTTTATCAACACTAATCAAATCTAAATCAACAAAAAAGCACATTACTAGCTAATTTATCAGTGTTTTATCAGAAGTGGTGACTCAACCTAATGTTAGCCAGACACTTCAACAAGCTGCTTCCTTTGCTAAGATCCATGATACAAGAAAGTTACAAGTTTTTGCTCAAATAGCCCTTTTAGAAAAAAGTGTTGGCAGAGCATTTAAAGACTTTAGAGTCCACACCTGAAGATTATTTAGTTTAAAGAAAGCACAGGTTTCTTCTAAGTTGGAAATAACTGAAAATATGTAATATCGTTGCAAAAATCTAAAATTTTCACCTAAAATTTTATTCATTTTTAGGTGAAATAATGTGTTTAATTTGTGAAACAAGAAATACCAAATTTAAAATTCACATTTGGTTAAAAATAAAACTGAATTTGAGGAAAAATAAAATATTTGGAAAATACAAGGCTGTTTGCTCCCTTTGTCTCCTTTCCGTAAGCTTTATAAAACAATTTTTATGTAGATGTGCATTGGTGCACTGTATGAATTAAAAGCGGTTTGTGTTCAAGACCAAGCCAACTTTGAACTGTAAGTTTTGCATATCGGTTATGCTTGACACAAGTTTGATGATTTTTATGATCCAAATGCTTCTTTGTGTTTTCCTTTTCTCTAAAAGTTTTGTATTTGCTTTGGGGAAACTGTGATAAAATAGAAGTCGGGCCTTTACAGAACAGACACTGTGGTATATTTTTGCCCTATAGCTGACCCTCTAACTGTGGAGCCCTCACGTGTCTCCTGTCAGAATTTAAAATTAACACATGCACTGCATGCCCCCTATAATTAAACCATTAAGTCTGTCGCTTACACATATCACACTACTGCCTCTCATCAGGTAGCAGTTTTCTTACGTTGTGCAAAGATGTCTCTGCTTGTTTTTTTTCTTCATCGTGAACCACAAACATTCCTGCATCATAGCATTGTACTCTATTGATCCCTGGGGAGTCAACATTGTGGTTTTTGAGAGAACATATAATAGCTTCTAGTAATCTAATTTCAGACTAGAAAACCTGGCTTCACATCTTCAAAGCCTCCACACCGATGATGAAGTGCATTTTAGAAAAGGTTATGCAAAAGTGTCCACAAAGTGCACTTTTACAGTTTTAATAGTTGCCACCGATTGATGCGATAAACAGTGTTGTTTTGAGACAATTTCAAGTACTATATTGATAATGGCACAATGATGCAGATTTGCTCTCTCAGTAAAAAATAAACTTTACTTTTTTTCTTTTTTTTCTTTTTTAAAGAACACTTCACACTGGAACTGGAAAATATTTTAAATATACAAACTAAAACATGACAAACAAAAACAATAAATAAATAGGAAATAAAAATCACACACAGCAGAAACCACAAATACAATGGGTTACGGTGTCTCTTTAAATAACATTGCCCTTCAGGAAATACAAGTCAATAGAATGGAAATGATCAAATCCATTTTATCATGTGATTAATTGATTATTCCGACACGCAATAAAGGTCAAAAACTGCTCTGGGAGACTGACGTGTTAATCCTACCTACATTTGTCTGAGCTTATAGAATTCAAAAAAGCTACAAAAAATTTAACTAGTGGAAAAATTATGTTCAGAATTACTGAAACATATGACTTCATGCTCATCAGGATTACCATCAGATCCTAACTTCATCAGGAATATCTATTGCAGATAAGTGGATAATGATTATGAGTCCTAAGTATTCGCAGCCCTTCCCTGATGAGGTCTTCAGACTGGGTAGAGACATGGCTACATGTGGATTAAGCTGTGTTAGCATTTTGCTGTGTCAGTAGCTAACAGTTTTTGTCTCCGTTTTGTTTTTATTTATTTTTTCTTCTTCAGGCCCAGGTGAGGACGGAGGAGCCGGTCACCACTGCACTGAGCGAAAACATTCCCAAGTTTTACTTCCCACAGGGCCGGCCCCAAGCCAACCTCAACATCGACGGCCTCATTTCCAAAATTGAGAAAATATTTTCGCAATTCCCAAATGAAAGGGCCACCATTGAAGACATGGGGCTGGTCGCCAAGGTGAGAACGTGAGCAGTCGCATCGCGGTCCGGCCGCCCACTGGCGGATTATTTTCACTGGTGCCATTTGGCTTCCGACGATTTGAATGTTTGCTGGTTTAAAAAAAAAAAAAAACTCCGATTGGAAAATATAATTTCCGTGTTGCTAAGGAATGTGGTCAGTGGCCTGAGGAGCACCTGAGAGCAAGGACAGCTAAGTTTACTTAGGGAACTCTGTAAATGATATAATACTGCCTTTTTCCCCCACCAAACATAGTATTGAATTAAAACTCCCATCTGTATTTCTTTTGCATTTGCTGTCTTTTAGAAGCTGCCCTTGTCATGCACTGCCTTGTTTTTCTGTCTTAGGCCTGCGAGTGTCCCCTCTACTGGAAAATGCCATTGTTCTGCTCAGCTGGAGGCGACAGGACGGGTTTCGTCTCAGTACACAAGTTTGTGGCTATGTGGAGAAAGTAAGACAATAGCTATTTTTATTCCCGCTAGACCATTGGGTCATTCTCTCCCAGCTAAATAGCTCACACATTGGCCTCTGAACAATAGTGGCCGCTCACTCGGGGAACATGGTCACTGAAAACACATCTTTACTGATTCCCCCCCCCCCCCCCCCCCCCGCCCCAGCCCCCATACTTATGAGTTATGTGGGAACAAA